CGATAGGGAGGAAAATCTCAAGAGAGGCCAGTTATCCATTTTCTTCTCACATCCATTCTATCCCATATCCACTTGCCAATTTCTTTATATACCCCCTGGCAACATAAACATTCTCCAAGGCAGTGGTCTCTAAATGGGAGGCAGGCATTCATCTGTTGGAGCATGGGAAAGGTACTAGAACTCTTTGTATTACTTCATCCATTCCTATTTCTTGCAGAGTCTATTATGTAAATGATATTAGTGTTAGAAGTACTAATAGTAACACAGTAGTATGTAGTTGAACATTTACTGGGGCTATGTGTGCAATTTTCTCCCAGATTGACAGCGCTACTAGGAATTTCAATCTGCTGCACTGAGAAAGAGTCCAACCCCAGTATGTCCCAGCTTTCGGAGAAATAGACAGCTCGTGGTGGGACATGCCACCGACCTCAAAAGGTGTGGCAACAGAAATACAATAGGAACACAGCTGGACCCCAGAAACCATAAGGTGGCAGGAGATATTAACTCAAATCCTACAGTTAATGAACCAAAAATCAAAATTTGGGCTGTCTCAAAACAGTTTTTTTCCCCTTTCTGCCATTTCCTCCCCAAAGAATCTCAGCTCCCCAAACCTAGTAGCTGCTCAATAATTATGCAAGGCAGAGATGCTTGCATCTTATGCCAGGAAGGTTTAGTAAGTGGTAGCAATTACCCTAGAGCACGGCCAGGCCAGAGCGTCCCTAGACAGTCACATGATCGAGGAGTCCTATCTCCCACTCTGAGGCCCACCTGTCCTCCCCTACAGGTCCCCATAATACCATCAGAGCACTATGGCACTATTTCTGAAATTGCCTTAATTCTGTGCATTCTCTTAGTGCCTGTCACGCCCTATGGAAGGAAGAACTGTCCCTGTCGTGTTCGCCACTGTGTCCCCACTACGTGCTGGACACTAGCTATTTGTTCACTGTCATTGAAAAGAAGTTAGAATCCTGTGTCCTATGGCCATGCCTCAGCTCTGCAAAGGAGAAAAGAAACAGCGGAACGATGAAATAGAAATTCCTACCAACGTTCTTCTTGATCCAAATTCAATATAAATAGCCTTTAGCTTTCTGAAGGAAGCCCACAGGTAATTATTCGATGTTTAGTCAAGGCTCCCCTTCTCTGCCCTTTCTGGCCTGGGCCCAGTCCCCCAACCCCCCTAACTGTTGGCATAGCGCCTCCTTGGAAAACATCACTCTTCCTCTGAAGAAGGGTGACACAGCTGAGGACCCATGTGGAAAGGTTCTGTGGGGAAGGAGGATTCATACAACTTTCTGTCTGCACCAAAGAATCTCGCATCCAGATCTTCTCTCCTTCCTGCACACCGAGGGAGACTAAGGAAAAGACTTCTTTCTTCCCCTTAAGCCATGGGTAATCCTCAGTTCAGAGTCACACAGGTTCTTCTTGCTCTTGGAAGCCAGGAGACAGCATGGAAAACTGATCAGAAGATACAAGGCTACCTTCCAGTGGGTGTTATCCACACTGCTTGGCTCTCTGAGGAGTGGAAAAATTTGGGGGTGGGGATGGAATCGGGAGACAAGCGGCAGTAAAAAGAGAGAAACTGGAATGAGGAAAGGAGCAAACTGAAAAGACTCTATCAGTGCAACATGCTTACTGATAAACCTCAGGCAACACAGCTCTGAGGGCTTCGCCGATGGCTTGGCAGTGAAGAATCTGCCTGCAGTGCAGCAGATGTGGGTCTGATCCCTGGGTCGGGAAGATTCTCTGGAGGAGGAAATGGCAACTCACTGCAGCATTCTTGCCTGAAAAATTCCACAGACAGAGGAGCCTGGCGGGCTACAGTCCATGGGAGTCAGACATACACACACAAGTGTGTGCAGAACTGAGCGCGCGGGCGTGCACACACACACACAATACAGCCACCCACCCAGTCACCTCTGCCACTCTGCTCTTCCTTAACACGGCCGTGAAGCCGGAACTTTTGGTGGCTTAGATGAAAGTCTGTGTCCTCTCTCACATCCCCTCCACCCATTTTTGTTTCTCTGACTTTCCTGCTCTTTCTTGATCATACTGAGCCTTGTGTCTGCTCACTGTGGAGGCTGAATACCTCCATGTCGTCTCAAATGTAACCAACTCTTAGCCACTGGGGCATCGCCTCTTGTTCCAGCTAGCCACTGGACTGAAGGAACACAAGCAATATTAAATACATATTAGTATCGGGTAACAGGTAGGCATTTTATCAGGTACCAGAAGATAAAACAAATTGTAAAAATATCTGCGCTTCTAAGATTCCCTGTGTTGCTGCGCTAGCTGAAGAGGCAGCAGCGCATTGTTGAAGAGGCAGCGGTTGCATGTTGTCTGTAGGTCAGAAAACATGAATTATTCCATCAAGTTCTACCCTGTGGCAAGACTTTAGGCAAGTCACTTAATTTTTTTGGTCTGTTGAGAGTGAGAACGAGAGAGAGAGAGAGAGAAATAAAACTATGTTAGTGTCAGAAAAGTTATAAACCCCAAGTTCCATAAGGTGCCTTAGCGGCTATAGTTTAAAACAATCTATCCTAAAGAAACTATCAATCCAACGGAAAATAAAGGGGAAGGGTCATATTCTAGGACACGATCTTCCCAATCTTACTTTACTTCACTTTCCAATCGGCAGAATTCAAGCGCTGGGAAAATTTCTTTATGTTCTTATTATTAGCCTGCAGGGGCCTGCCATGACAAAGCTACACTAGGCTGCCAGGTACCCTAGTGTGGTCTGCTGTGAACAGGCTGGCTTTTGCTGCCACCTGGATACTGATGCTCTTTTCTCAGCCTGTCCAGACAAACCGCTCAGCATCGCCTCTGTCTGGGGAGAGAGTCTCATGGCATAGCTCTTTGGTGTCTTCCTTTCTTGCACCTTTACTCTTCTCACACGCAAGGGAGTCAGTGTCGGCACTGAGGGCTGAAAATCACTCATGGAAAGGTTGTTTCTGACGGCTGCTTCCCCAGCTCCAGGACCAGCACAACAGTAAGCTGTAATGTTGAAAAACATCAGGATACGTGTCTGTGATCCAAGGAAGCAGGGGAACGGCAGTGGACAGCTGTGCCGGTGGTAGGGGTTCTGGTGTGGCCAGGGTCTGCAGCAACAGAAGCACCTGACATCAGAAGGTGACTTTCAACTATAGGTCTAAAACTTGGATTGGGAAAGAATCTAAGCCTTTGATATCTGATTCTGAGATGAAAGAACATACATGTTGGCCTTTGGGAATGGGAGCTTTCTGGGAACTAGGAGTAAACAGTAGCAGCTACGAGCAAGGGTTTGGAAAATTGGGAGGAAAGTCTGGACTCTGCTCTTGGAAGTTTCTCGGGTTCCAGCTTATCTGGAGTTTCACTTTATGAGAGAAGCGACTGAGCCAAGGGGAAAAACAGCATAGGAAGAGGGAAGGGAAGGCCCTGCTCACGTTCTGATGAGTGTCCTGGAGTGCTGCATTCTCTCAGGGGAAACACAGCAGTCGCCGTTGTGAAAGTGGCAAAGGAAGAAGGCCAGCTGACCAGAAGAAGGCATTATCCAAAGGACAGTCATCAGAAACTGAACAGAAGGCAACGACTGAGCCACATGAAAGCAACTCAGCACTGCATCCTAACCAGGCTGTTTCTGACTTCAAGAGGTGAATGTAGAAAACGGACAGCGGTGGCAGGTAGACTGCAGCAGCCTCTCCAGATATAACAACACATTGCACTCCATAGGCACTCATATTCTGGCAAATACCATCAGATACATGGACTCTTTTAATGTGAGACAACTAATTTACTGAACACCCATTATTAGAATAAGCACTGTACATACATTATTTAATCCCAGTATTAATATCATTTTCAAAAAAGAAAATGATTTTTACTTATGGAGAATGAGTAAACTATTCAATGTTATTCAGCTAGTAAATGGTAGAGCCAGTACTAAACTCAAAGCCTATGAGATAAGAAAGTGAACTCTAGAAGTACAGAGAACATGTAAGGCAGCTCTCCCTGCTGGTAAAGAAAAGAAAACATGGGCAATGTACAGATATCTAGATAAAAATTTCTCCCTTATTTCTTTCAATCACAGAGTCTGGACTCCAAGTCACTAATTTATAACACTGGCTAGGGGCCAAAATTTCTTAGAACTGGCAAAAAATATAATGTGGCTTCCAAGAAAGGGTCAGAAATGGTACACCTCAAGAGGTTGAAGGCATCTAAAGGACAAACTCTTTGCTCTATCTCAAGCTACTCAATCAAGGCCTGCCTGACTGATAGGGCCAAGCAAGGACCTGTAACAGAGATGCTGAAACTAGGCAAAAAGGAGCAAATTAGTACTATCTCCGTTTCAACGAAATAAAATTACCATGGCTCACTGGGCAATTGGGCTGAGCCAGGTAAGCATGAAGCTGGATTTTTCATTCTCTTTAGAGAATAGATTAAGAAGAACTATACTAAAAGTACATCAGACAGGGTTGAAAAAGTCATCAATAATTTCCTGAAAGAAAACTGAGTAACCCAAAGGTATGGTGGGTAAATGCTCTACGTTTTGATTTACCATCCCGTTTCTAACTGTGTACCATAGAGAAGTACTACATTAGGTAGATGGACTCATCTACTCTTCTTCCTACTATACTGTAAGACCGGGGTAGGGAAGAATCATATCTTCAACCTTTTGCAATCGAAGACTGATACTGAGTTAGGGACTTGATTATTTACTGATAAACACAGCTCTAACATAAACATTTATAAGAGACAGTCCCCCCTTCTGCACAGTGATATAGAAAGAGAAGGAAAGGATGATCTTCAGAGAATACCACAGTCACTAAACCTCATCTCTGGGAAAGAAATAATGTTTCTCTCCACAGCCTGACATCTTTTCAGTGCTTTGGAGACTGTGCTTTGCCCACCAGGCACAGATATAGCAGCAAGGTCTCCAGAAACATTCCTTCTCTAGAAGCAGACAGAACAATGTATCTTAACACAGGCCGCCTTCCCCCAACCCCCACCGCTGGCATGGCCTTTACCTTCCACAGGGTTGGTTTTCAGTCTACTGCAGAGATTCATCACTCCCCCGTAGTGGACGTTGATCTGGTCTATTGCATCACTTGAACGGAGCTCCATCAGCTTCCTCAGGTCCATCACTGTGCAGCCAAACTCCCCTTCACGGCTCTCAAGAATCGAGTTGGCCGGCAAGGTGTGTTCTGTTGGGTTCGTCATTTTGCCTGCTGTTACCAAGCCCCTCAACAGAGAAAATGTGAAATCTCCCTTCCACTGATCAGGGTCTCTCGTTTCTCTTCCTCACTTCTTACTTCTTTCTTCTCTGAGAGTCCAGATGCGAACAAGACCGACTATATCTTGTACAGGAAGCTTCAGAGCAGCAGCCTGTGGTCCAAGTCCTTTTGTGTGTATGAAGCTTGGCAGCCAAAGGAGGAAGAGGACAGGGGAACTGAGTGTAAGCCGGACCACGTGTTACGATGACTGGTGTCCCCAGGTGGTGATGGAAGCAGTTGTCCAGGGTAGGTAGGTTCCTAGTTTAGACCAACTTTCCCAGATGGCGGTATAAACAGGATGTGCATGTTACCATGGAGGCAACCTTAGCAACAAGCAGCAACTGCAGTGGCAGAGCGGTGGCAGGACAGGAGAAAGAGGCGGGCTCCCTGGAAACCGACGACAACGGGGCCTCTGGAATAAAGATTCAAAAGCAGACATGGAGAGACAATTAGAACAGCATGGGATCCAGCAACCGCAAGGACAAGAGGTACTCATTCTAGCACAAGGGTTTAGGTGACAGTTGATATCTGAGCTGAACTGATAGCTGAGGCCTAAGCTGAGTAGACTGACTTAGGAGAGGCCCCTTCTTCCCTGGGGGGCCCCAGCAGCCTGTAAACTCCAATGTAGAGAAATAACTTCAGACACACCCCAGCCTTCATACCTCACCTCTTCTAAACCAAGCAACACAAATCCCAAGACTTGAGAAACTTGGAAATAAAGGGTTATATAACCTCTAATGGCTCTCCCTTGTCTATTTGAGGGACCTGCAACAGAATGTTTTGGTCTGTTTTAATCTTTTAATCTTACAATGTTTTAATCTTACCTCTAAGAGGTGAGAAGAGATCAGGAAAGGAGCCCAGACTAGAGTGATCTGGAGGGTAGCCTGCCAGTCTGCCACCCTCCCCCAAACCCTGCACCCTACCACACTCCTAACACACACATGTACAAACCAGGAGGGCAAACTGGGAGAAGACGTCCACATCCCCTGCAGCCCCTCAGAACGCCTGGCCTGACACTGTATAGAAATTCTGCAGCCTGATGCTGTTGTCAGTAGATCAGGTATAAAGTTCAGATCTTGGAGTTTAAAAAGTGTTGGGGAGACAAGGGTGAGTAAACAGCTCTGGCAGTGGGCAACGCAGGGTGGAACCTTTACACGTAATGGGAACAGAAGGACTTTTGAGGAGGAAAGAGAGTTTGAAGCTTGTGAGTGTTCACGTTTCTGAGATTGCAGGAATATGGCAGCTATCACTTCAGCTAGAGCCTAAGGCCACAGCAAGGTCAGCAGGGGAGCAGAGTCAGCCTGCGTGTGAGTGACAACAGAGGGTCTCAGGTAAGCAGTTCTCCTCTCGGGAAGCCATGTGTCACCTCACACATGCTGACTAGGGAGAGGGGCGGGTGGGAACAGGGAGGATGAAGGAGAGAAAAAGGCTTATCCTAAGCCCTGTTCTCAGCTTCAGGCAAGAGGACCACCACACACCAGCTTCTTAAATGCACAGGGGATCTTTCTGAACATGGCACCAGAGCATTCAGGGCCCAGCCCTGGTCAGCCCCTCTTTAATACATGGATGACGTTCTAGACGATGAACAAGAAGTACAAGGGTCATCAGATAAGGGCTTGACTACTTTATCAATTACTTTTCCAAAATCACATGTGGCCAAAGTTCCTACTAATTCTAATCAATCCTGTTCTTGGCAGATTCCGCTGGGATGGAGGCAGTTACACCCCTCCCTCTTCCAGGATGCCTGCAGCTTACTCCTTCTACTGTGAGTTTTTAGAGCTACCCTGACTTATAAAGCGTTTTGTTTTGTTGTTGTTGCTATTGTTTTTCAAACACCATGCTCCCTTTTCTTTTTAGATGTCATTCCTGGGGAACAAGGAGAGAAGCCGAGGCAATGTGTCACACTCTCTTCAATCCTCCTGGCACACGGACAGGCAGTGCCACAGACATTTCCCTCCAATTCGGTTTCTTCTCCAAGCCTGGAAGCAGTGGGAAGGGTTACAGCAGCAGGAAGCCCATTTGACCCTTAAGTAGAACTCCTTAACCTTTGAAGAGGATGTTGAGGACAGTGCTGATTGACAGCTTAACTGGAAATTATAACCTTTTTTTTTTTTTATTTCTACCACCTACTGCCATGTTTATTTCATGAAGGCAGAGATTTTTCACATGTCTTGCTCAATGCTTTCTCCCCAGTGCCTAGACAATCACCTACACAAAGCAGGCATTCAGCTAATTTTTTTGGCTGAATAACTCATAGTAGATTCAGAACCAGATTTACCATCTTCCTAAGAACCTTTTGAGCATGTCACTTAGCTTTCTTAGAGCTCAGTTTTTTTAGGGCTCAGTTCCTCCCACCTTTATCTGCAAGAAGAAATTGATAAATGAATGGCATTATAAACAGAAATAGTACCTGGAAATCTTAGATGAAAGATGACCAGTGTCCTGTATAGGACACTCAAGTGATGTGAAAAGGTTAATTTGATCTTAATGAGCTTTTGTTATCTAGTCCTTTATGCAGAAGAGCAATAATCTCCATGTGGCCCTCCATCTTTTCTTGTGAGAGCGAACTCCCACACCCCTGAACGAGTGGAAAATTCCAAGCAGCTGGTTATAACCATTAGCAACAACTGCTTCATGGATCACAGCCTTGCTGTGGTAAAGGGGCTTGCATAACTGAATGAAGCTGTAAGTTATACAGTGCAGGGCCACCCAAGACAGACAGGTCATGGGGAAGAGTTCTGACGAAACCTGGTCCACTGGAGGAGGAAATGGCAACCTATTCCAGTATTCCTGCCGCAAAAACCCTATGAACAGTGTGAAAAGGCAAAAAGACATGACACGGGAAGATAAGCCCCCAGGTCAGAGGGTGTCCAATATGCTACTGGGGAAAAGTGGAGGGCAATTACTCATAGCTTCAGAAAGAATGAAGCAGCTAGGCCAAAGCAGAAACGATGCTCAGCTGTGGATGTGTCTGGAGGTGAAAGTAAAATCCGATGCTGTAAAGAACAATACTGCATAGGAACCTAGAATGTTACATCCATGCATCAACTTTGAATGTGGTCAAACAGGAAATGGTAAGATTGAACATCAACGTCTTAGAAATCAGTGAACTAAAATGGATAGGAATGGGCAAATTTAATTTAGATGACCATTTTATCTCCTACTGTGGGCAAGCATCCCTTAGAAGAAATGGATTAGCCCTCATAGTCAACAAAAGAGTCCAAAATGAAGTACTTAGGTGCAGCCTCAAAAACAACAGGATGATTTTGGTTCGTTTCCAAGGCAAACCATTCAACATCAGAGTAATCCAAGTCTATGCCCCAACCACTGATGCTGAAGAAGCTGAAGGTGACTGGTTCTATGAAGGCCTCCAATATCTTCTAGAACTAACACCAAAAAAAGATGTCCTTTTCATCACAGGGGATTGGAATGCAAAAGCAGGAAGTCAAGAGATACGCAGAATAACAGGCAAGTTTGGCCTTAGAGTACAATATGAATCACACAAAACAGAGTTTTGTCAAGAGAATACACTGGTCATAGCAAGCACCCTTTTCCAGCAATACAGCAGACGACTCTACACATGGATATCACCTGATGGTCAATACCACAATCAGACTGATCATGTTCTTTGCAGCCAAAGATGGAGAAGCTCTATAAAACAAGACCCAGAGCTGCCTGTGGCTCAGACCATGAGCTCCTTATTGCAAATTCCAGGCTTAAAGAAAACACAGAAAACTACTAGGCCATTCATATATGACCTAAATCAAATCCCTTATAATTATACAGTGGAGGTGACAAATCAATTCAAGGGATTAGAGCTAGTAGACAAAGTGCCTGAAGAACTATGGACAGAGGTTTGTAACACTCTACAGGAGGCAGAGACCAAAACCATCCCCAAGAAAAAGAAATGTAAGAAGGCAAAATGGTTGTCTGAGTGGCCTTACAAATAGCTGAGAAAAGAAGAGAAGAGAAAAGCAAAAGAGAAAGATATACCCAACTGAATATAGAGTTCCAAAGGAAAGCAAGGAGAAGATAAGAAGGCCTTCTTAAATGAACAGTGCCAAGAAATAGAGAAAAACAATAGAATGGGGAAGACTAGAGATCTCCTCAAGAACATCAGCGACATCAAGAGACCATTTCATGCAAGGAGGGGCATGACAAAAAACAGAAACAGGAAGAACCTAACAGAAGATGAAGAGATTAAAAAGAGGTGGCAAGAATACACTATACAAAAAAGGTCTTAATGATAACCATGATGGTGAGGCCACTTACCCAGAGCCAGACATCCTGCAGTGTGAAGTCAAGTGGGCCGAAGGAAGAATTACTATGAACAAAGCTAGTGGAGGTGACAGAATTCCAGCTGAGCTATGGAAAATCCTAAAAGATGATGCTGTGAAAGTGCTGCACTCAATATGCCAGCAAATTTGGAAAGCAGTGGCCACAGGAACAGAAAAGGTTAGTTTTCATTCTGATCCAAACGAAGGGCAATGCCAAAGAATGTTCAAACTACCGTACCATTGCACTTACTTCATATGCTAGAAAGGTTATGCCCCAAATCCTTCAAGTTGGGCTTCAGCAGTATGTGAACTGTGAACTTCCAGATGTACAAACTGGATTAAGAAAAGGCAGATGAGCCAGAGATCAAATTGCCAACATTCACTGGATCATGGAGAAAGTAAAGGAATTCCAGAAAAGCATCTACTTGTGCTTCATTAACTACACTAAAGCCTTTGACTGTGTGGACCACAACAAACGTGGAAAATTCTTAAAGAGATGGGAGTCTCAGACCCTCTTACTTGTCTCCTGAGAAACTTTTATGTGGGTCAAGAAGCAACAGTTAGAACCAGACATGGAAAAATTGACAGTTTCAAAACTGGGAAAGGAGGATGACAAGGCTGTAAATTGTCACCTTGCTTTGTTGTTGATATTCAGCTGCTCAGTCATGTC